CAGAAGGGAGACTGAGGGGATGGGGGGAAAGGAAAGGCAGTGAGAAGAATGAAAGTAGACTCCAGAGCAAACAATACTGGGCAAGCAGAGAAATGCAGGGAAGACCAAGAAAAGGGAGCAAAGGAGGCTGGGAAGCAGGTAGGAGGAGGAGAAGACCACAGAGAGATAAAGAATGGGGAGACTGCTGGAAGGGACACTGGGTACCACTGAGGACCTTGCATCACTTCTTTTCACAGAAAAGGACATTGAGAACCCAAGTGTAAACTTGATTTTTCTAAGGCCAAGAGGTATTCAATTTGCCAACCAGAGCACAGACTACAGACTTTGTCATAAGCCAGGATTCCTTTTATATTGTTGGTGCAATAGGGGAGGTCAGGAGGCAAATGGGAACAGGAAGAAAACCTACAAGCCAGATAGTGGGAGAGATGGAGGGGAAATGAGAAACCCCGTGGGAGGCCTGTGGCTGAGGGAGGCAGCAGGGTTTCTCTGACAGGGAAGTGAGCAGAGGGAGAGGTTTGTCTGTTTGTGTGGCAAGGGGAGTTAGATACGGGTGTTAGAAGGTTTGGAGGGGAGCTGATACCTGAGCTCTAAGGCAACCTTGTCCTGCTGAGGCATCCTTTGCCTGACAGATCTTCAATGTTGCTCCTGCTGCTCCTGCTCTTCCAGGAACTTCTCTGCCACAGGGCAAGCACAGTGGGTAAGAACCCAGATTGAAAAATACCTGTGGTTGGGCATAGCAGGGTGGGAAAGAAGTTCTGGGGAGGACCTAGGGGCAGGGAGTAATGCTCCTACTGGGTACCTTCCGAATCTGCATGCCAGCCTAGTTCCAGGCAGAGCATCCTTGCTCCCAGTCTGTTTCTCTCTCTGATTTTGGGAAATGGAAGCTAACCCAGGGGGAAGGTGATATAGAATATGTGCAAACTGTGTAACTATAGCTTTCTTCTCCTATGTGGGCTCTTCTTTTCCCATCCTTCACACTCTCTCACTTGCTATATCTCTGTCTCTCAGCTCCACAGGTTCTAAGACCCCATTATCCAGTAGCAGAAGAGCCCTCCTCTTTCCGCGTGCTCCAGGTCTCCTCCTTTGCCAACCACAGCTGGGCACATACGCAGGCCTCAGGCTGGCTGGATGAGCTGCAGACTCATCGCTGGGACAAGGATTTGGGCACCATCCGCTTTCTGCGGCCCTGGTCTCAGGGTAACTTTAGCAAAGAAGAGTTGAAGAACTACCAAGCGCTATTGCAGTTGTACTACCATGGTTTCCCCCGGGAAGTGCAGGCCTTTGCCAGTCAGTTTCAGTTTGAATGTGAGTTTGTTTTGCCAAGATGATCTTTGTCTGAGGTCTCCAACCATCTTCCAAAGGGGAAGAGGGTGTAAAGGCTCTGATCACTATTCAACTTTCCTGTCTCCCTTGGCTCACGCTCTCTCTGCTTCACCCTTCACCACGATTCTCACTTTACCCCCGACCCCACCATATACGCAGAAGGGCCTACATGTACATAGCTCTTCACACCCTGAATATACCCTCATGTTCTGGCTCCTTGGAATCGTTTTCTCTCCAATATATGATGGTTGGACAATTAAGTTTGTGAACTCATCCTAGAAAAAGTGCTACATACCTCATTGCTGAATATCACTACAGTCATCTTCAAAGTACTCCCATTGGGAAGCTATGCATTGATGCCAGTGCTTAGTCTACCCTGGAAAGCAATTTTGGAACTCTTTTTCTGGAATGGCCATCAGAGCTGTCGTCATATTACCCTTGATGTCCTGAATGTCATCAAAATGTCTTCCTTTCAATATTCCCTTTATCTTCAGGTAAAGAAAGAAGTCATTGGGGGCCAGATCAGGTGAGTGGGGAGGGTGTTCCAATACAGTTATTTGTTTACTGNACACCAAAAAAACAAAATAAAACATAAAAAACAACCAGTGCCAGTCTTGGCTAAAGTCCATCAAGCTCTCCCCAAGTTGGCCTCTGGTATATACAAACTCCTCATCTTGTGGGGGCAGAGCCAGCCACCTGGCGCCTAGAGTGACCCTGGCAATGCAGGTCTATTGTAGATGAGTGGGGTTATGAGGTGTAATTGGTAGGTTTTACAAAGTCAATGCCTTTTCTGCTCTCACCTACCAGAGGCACGCTGAGTGCTGCGCAGCCAGAGGGCTGAATGTGCATCTTTGGGCACTCTTTTCGCTGGAGGCTGTGGGGGCTATGAGATTTCAGAGCTGCTAAAAGCCACCTGCCCCGGGGCCTGTGAGTGATTCAGCAGCTGAAGTTGCCCTGCCTCCCAAGCTGTGTAGGGGGGCTGGGAGCGGTGTGTGTAGGCTCACACTCGGGGGTCATGCGGCTCCACAGCCTCGGGTGTGGACAGCACCTTTGCACACACCTCTCCTCTCTCTCCTCCCCCACTCTTCCTGTCCGAAGCTTCTGCCTCAGACTGCAAACTGTCGCGTTCTTGCTGCTCTCCAGGTGGGCCGTGAGGTTCAGGGAGCCAGCCACAGGGTCACTGTCCCATCTGCTCTCTGAGGTCCCGTGTCTCAGCAGCCGCGTGTGCTCTCTGCACCTCCATGCGTCTCGCCTCCCTCTTCCCCCACTCGCCCGGTCTGCCCACCTCTAAGTAATCGGCNAACCTCTCTTGGAAGGCCCTACCCCTGTGATCTAAGAAGCGTTAACTGAGGTAGAATAGAGAGTGCTTTATAGATTGACATCCTTATTTTATCCCCAACCAGGTGGATACTCCATCCTCCCGATATTGATTTGTTTGACTGTCATAGTTACCCTGGTCATGTTGGTTGTGGTTGACTCATGGTTTAAAAAGCAGAGGTAAGACTTTCCTTGTTCTTTTTCTTCAACTTCTTTTCAACTCATTCTTCTTTTCTCTATCTTTTTTTTTTCTTCCCCCTTTCTCTCTGATTTCCCTTCTTTGAGATCAAGATCCTTTCTGTCTCCCACAGATCCAATTGGAACATCGGCCCTCCCCCTATCTTTCTCATAGAAGCCAACACCCAAGACCCCAGGAGTTCAGGAAATCAGTTATGGTTGGCACAGAAATCATGGATCAAAAACAGATTCTTGAAGAAATGGAAAACAAGTCTCAACCAACTCTGATGACACTTGTTTTACTTTATACATAAAATTCTTGTCTGCTTCTTCTTAAACTTGGTTCATACCAAAAAACAAAGCATGATTTTGTTAAAATAGCTTGTTCTGGCAGAGATTCTGACTGCTTTGGAAATCTTCCCCCTCCCCTCCCCGCATCTTCCAGCTTTCTCTTTTCTGCTTTGGCTACATGTTCATCACTATTACTCCTTCAGACCCCAATTCAGACACCTATCTCTCATGGAAGCTTCCCTGGATTGCCCAATTGAAATCTCTTATGTATTCTTCAGATCTTCCTAAATACACTTATCTTTTCTTACTCTAAATAGCAGTTATTTAGGTTTTTAGTCTTTTTTTTTTTGGTCACAATTCCTTGAAAGCAGGATTTAGGTGTTTGTATTTGTGTCCATAACCAAGAGCCCAACCTGGATTCAGGGTCAGCTTCATGGGCATTTGACCTGTGCAGTTATTATCATCTTGAAAGCCTTAATAACTTTTGAACAATGGATTCATTTTGTACTGGTATTTTAATTTTGTACTGGCCTCACAAATTATGTAGCCAGTCCTGCCTGGGTGTGATATTTCTCAATAAATGCTGACTAAAGTAAATTTATTGTCAAATTAAGTGGTGTTGTCTTAATTCATTCCTTCTTTGGCATCTCTGCATTACTTGGCTGTGTTCTTATCAAAATGCTTTCTCTCCTCCTTTGTCTTTCACCAGAGGTGAAAGAGGCAGGTAAGGGCTTCAGACTTCACAGTGATTGGGTGTTTGTGCATCTTCAGAGACATTTAAAGAAAATAATGACTTATGAGATATCTATCTTCAGTAAAAATGAGGATGGGGTTGGAATGGCATTCCTACTTCTCTGAGATTGTATATATGTGCATCATGGTAGCTGTGTATATTCAGTGGATAATTTAATATTTTGAGCAATTAGGAAGAAAACATGGGGGTTGGGGGTAATTTTGATGGGCAGAGCCAAGGCAATGAAAGAAAACAGTGATTGGATGCCAGCTAAACTATATGTTTACTTTATTATTATTATCATTATTATT